AAGTATATAAAGATATTTTTACTCAGTAGAAGATTCGGCAGCCATCCCGAGGTCAGTGTAAGTGCTATGTCGGCTCTGGTGATTTCGCCCGCTGTCCAACTATTTATTGCTGAACTTGGCTAACAGTCTAACTCTCTGCCTTCGGGAGGAGAGGAACCCGAACGAGGCTCATCTGAAGGGCTGAGTCTCGGTCGGGGTGGTTGACTGCCCCTGAACCCGTTTATGCGGGTTCAAAGAGGGAATATTTTTAGCCGAGCCTACGGGCTAGGAGATCCCACGTTAAACCCGGCCTTGTGCCACATGTAACCCTCGTGCGGGGGTAGCTAAATATCACTATTTATTGCTGGACGCTGAATATTTTGATGTATCAATTGCTTAAAATCATTACTGCGAATATTTTACAAAATAAATCAGAAAATATATTTTCCGTTACTTCAGAAACAATAGCCGTCCTGTGTATAACGATAAACTACGTCCAGCAGCAAGGCCTCTGATCAGGAGGTTTTGAGGATCGTGGAACCATTTCTTAATTACTGGTGTTCCCGGGGTGGTAGCACCTGTTAGGGTCCCAGCTATGGGCAAATAATTAAATCCGAAACTGGGGTAAAAACACTATGAAAGTGTAAAAATAGGTTTTAATACCAGAAATACTTATTACCAGCAATAAATTTTTGAAGAAAAAAATATTACCAGCAATACTTTGTTGAAAAAATAAAATAATAGCAGCAATACATTTTTGAAGGAAAAATATTACCAGAAATCGATTTTTGACAAAACAAAATATTACTAGTAATAAAAAAACTTGTCGGCATTAAATAACACATTGAGGTTGATATGTCATAAAACAAACCAAGCCAAACCAATATATACTTAGATAGATAGATAGATAGATAGATAGATAGATAGAAAATATAACCAACAATAAAAATCTTGTAGGCATTAAATAACCCATTGAGGTTGATATGCCGTAAACCAAACCAAACCAAACCAAACTAAACCAATCAGAAACAATAGATTCTAACATTTTTATATAAATGTATGTTCGATCTGATTTTAAAAAATATTTACAATCAAAAAGAAAAAAATACAAAATTATTTTAATTTAAAAGTCAATGTTTAATTTCATTTTGTGCGGGGAATAGATATAAAACAATTTAGAAATAGGATTATTGAAATCTTAATATCTGCCACAAATTTTACATATATACATACACACACACATATATATATAAAAAATAATTAAGTACTTCATCGAGTCTAGAAGAAACCTCAACAGAATGCAGAAAGCACTGGATGGCCGTTTCGTCCTATATTTGGGACTCATCAGCAGTGTGCATCCACTACGGAGAATTGAAATCCTGACAGTTACGTTATCATGCAAACGCCATACCAACTGTTGCTGCGGTCCCCAGGGACGAAGAAGTCTCAAATCAGACTCGATATAGCGTCGTTCACTCAAATATAGGACGAAACGGCCGTCCAGTGCATTCTGCATTCTGTTGAGATTTCATCTAGATTCGATGAATTACTTAATTATAATTATCAAATCCTCCTAATAATTTCTATCATATATATATATATATATATATATATATATATATATAAGTGAATATAGAAGTCAACACTAAAAGGCGACAGTCTGTTTCATGCTAGATGAATGAAACAGGCTGTCGCCTCTAAGTGTTGACTTCTGTGTTCATTATACATTTACACATGCTCTATCTCTTATATTGAGCACTTTATCCCATAAATATAGCACATCTTAAGACTATATTTCTTCATATATATATATATATATATATATGTGTGTGTGCGTGCGTGCGTCTGTGCCGTATTACATTTAAGGATTTTTTCTTTGTTATCTGTTGCTTTAGACTGTGATGTCTTCACCTAGCCTTCGTTGCGACATGTTTATTTTTTCTCCCATTGCTATTAATTATCCGACCAGAACTGTTTAGGTTAGATTTAAATTTTAATTTGCATCATTAAACTCTCCATATATATGTACGTGTGTGTGTGTGTGTGTGTTGTATATGTATGTATTTTAAGACATTTTTTTATGTTTATACATTCTTTTTATAGATACAAATATTTAAGTAAATGCTCTGTTTTTAATAAACAGTATTAACGACATTTACCGGTCTGAATGTCCGAGAAATATTCATAGAAAATATGCGTCCTTTTGACAGGAATCGAACCTCTATCCTATACAGAACCGTCATATAGCCTGACGTGCTTTACCGAATTAGCCACACAGTCGCGTTTCGATTAGCAATGTCGATTTTACTGTTTTTAAACTACAATTCTCCATGGTTTTCTCTCGTACATTCATATCTGCTCGATGCGTATCCAAATGTAAACAAATGACGTCACACTTTATGTAATGGACAAAGTCCGACAGTTATTTATTTTTTATGTTTAAACGGATTTTTTTTTTTAATCTGCTAGTACTTTCCACTTTACATTCAGTCATCCTCGGGCATGAAAATTATTTTGTTTTTAGTAAATCCAGGTAGCATCAGAGACGAAAATTTTAATGCGAATCGAAATATGTTTTTTTTTTTTAGAAATGTCCCATTATTAACGGACAAAAACTTTTGGAGCATGCAGTCGCAACGCTAAGGTTGAAATTTTTTGAATATTTAAGAGAGTGCGTTTTTTTTTACTAATTGAACTACACCACATTTATTTATATATATATATATATATATATATATATATATATATATATATATAAGTTTTTTAAGTAACAATTGAAGGGCAGTGCTCTAGATTTTGACATGAGACCCACAGAAGTCAAGTCTCCATTCATGTCCACACGCTAAATGCTACTACGCTAACTACATACTGACTCACATGCTCAAAATTCAAGTTATATTTGATATATATATATAAAGTTATGAAGAAATATTAAGGCCTAACGAGTGCGTCTAGCATGAAACAGCGTGTTGCCTCTAAGTGTTGACTTCAGTGTTCATCTTTATATTTATATATAATGTTATAAATATATAAAGTTTGCAATTTTGGGGTGTAACAATTCAGGGGCTGTTTTCATTTTTTTCCTGTGTAACACTTGAGGGGAATTGTGCAAAATGACGTTGAGCCACCGCCCAGATTCAAGATATATTTGTTTTTGAAAAGAAAAAAAAAACTATAGTTAAATAAAAAAAATGAGACAGACATGGGCTACGGGCAAAATTAGTCGTGTTAAATATTTGTTTTACAAATTTTAAAAGAGACCGTTCCAAACTACGGCGACACAGTTCACAGTAAGAACTAAATTCTATCTATCTCTAGTATCCTCCGTTACTACTAAGCACGCATACACGTACTAACTCTTTCAAACAAACACACATATAACAACATTTCACTCTTTCTCACATACGTTCATAAATTGTTTATTTGCTTATACTATGTTGTTTTTTTTTCTATTGGATTTTATTCTTTCAATGAAAATCGTGGCATTTTTCTAGGGCCGAATTACGAACACGAAATGATATTTTATGTTATTGTATCGAATCGCAAAACTCCGAATTTTGATATTTAACAAAAACCCGACTAGAAAGATTTTTACTAATTTTCGAAAAAATAATGCTCACTGTAGCATTTGCAATCTAGACAAAAAAATAATCCAACTTTATATACTTTAAAATACAGATATTTTATCCAGGGGTGATTATAAATTGTTTACTGTTCAATTATTAACGTTAACAACGAACTAGTTTAAATCAAAATTTGTACTTAGATTAAACAAAAATTACTAAAAATATAATACATATTACTTACAATACATTCCTTCTCGCCGTCAATTTTTATGACAGGAGTACACTAGTATCTATCTATATAATAATAATCTTATGAATATAAGTAAGTATACCCGTCTGGTAAAACCTTAGGTGTTTTGGCTTGTAAATGAACAAACCAATACCTAAGGAATAATAAGGAATAAAAAAAGAAAGAAGTAAGAACATATAATTCAGGCGAAAACAATCGACCAGAATCCAAGCTCAGAATCCAAAGATAAAGACCCCCGACACGAGTAAAGTAAAAATAACTAATCAAAGTGCTCAATACCCTAAGTAGAGCAAATTTAACCTCAAACCTAAAGAGCCAGGCAAACCTACCTTGCCTGGCTCTTTAGGTTAATCTATCTCTCTCTCTCTCTCTCTCTCTCTCTATATATATATATATATATATATATATATATTTAGTAGAACCTCGTATTAAAAGTGCATCATTATACGACCACCTTGCTTTACGAGCTGCAATTCATGAGCATTTTTGTATCATAGGACGAGTAAAAATTCTCAGTATGAGCAATCGTCGTATACACGGAAGCAGTCGGCGGCTGAAGTAAGGGGATGCATTGCCATTTGACGTTTTCTTTTTCTAAGAAACAACACGGTCAAAGGCAAAGTGAAGCGCATCTGTGAATGCCTGACGTCTAGAACATTTATTTATTTTATTGGAGAAAATTCTTCCAAATACTTATCACAGATAACGTCTCCTACCAACGCTATCGATTGCCCCCCTTTCCCTGTAGCTATCAACCACCAACACCTGGTTCAATTCAGGGATTCATTTTGTAGCGGTAACATCTCGATCGTTTTGTGCTAGGGAATTTTCTGTGAAACGTGCATTTTTTTTGGATTTATGCAACCATGGATTTGAAGATAATAAGTGTTAAAGTTAAGGGTAATAAGAAAAAAAGTAATTACATTAGAATTGAAGAAAGAATTAACAGAAAAAATACGAGGGAGGGGTAAGTGTAATGCTCATTCAGGCAATAGGACTGAACGACGTCAACGATCTGCACCATCCTGAAGTAGAAGGATGGGATAAAGAGTGCTACACCAGGAAAGAGTGTCTCCATGCTGTCTAGGCAAATGACGAATATCCATGAGGAGATGGGGAATCTACTTCTTTGGATTAACGACGTTGACGCGCACGGATAGGTGCTGACGACAGAGGAACTTCAGCTGCTTCACGAGCATCAAAACATGGAGGAGATACAGAAACGAGCCAAGATGGAAAGTGTGTCGGAAGATCAACCCCCGCCCACGAATGCGATCAAAGAAGTGATGGCGATATGTAAAAAAACAGCACGACTTTCTGGGAAAATGACAGAAAAATAAGTGGCTGCTTTGTTCAACAAAAATTTTTATGCCATTTGCGAATCAAGAACAAAACAGATTTTTATTGATAAGTTTCTAAAGAATGACTTGCAGTTACCAAAAGCGAATCAAATGGCACAAAAGTTCTTAAGTTCTGAATAAAAACGCCAGCAATTTTCTTATGAAAAGTTTGTATCTTAATAAAACCTGTCTATTTCTTTCATTCTATTTTATGTTCTTATTACTTGTACTTTTGGTGATTTCATTTCTTATTGTCCATTCTGCATGTTTTAAAATTCTAAAATAGACATTTTGAATGCTTTGGGGGAACAGAAACGGATTAATTAATCTTCTATTAATTTAAGTAGGAAAATGCTTTGTAATACGTGTCATTTGCAATACGGGCTTCGCCTGGGAACTAATTAAACTGGTACTGCAAGCTCCTATATGCTTGTCCCAGCTTTTGCAGTTCCCTTTCAAGTGCTTGCTTGCGAATGTGGTTGTGTTCTCTTCCCAGGATACGCATTCAAAATGTGCCCAGCTTCGCCACAGACCCAGAAGAGAGGAGGTCAGCTTTCAACAACATAAATGTGATGGCTTCCACGGGTCAGAATAATGGGTATCTCCATATTTTTTTTCCTTTTCACATTGAGTATAATTTCAACATCACCAGTGGCAATTCCACCTTTACTATTTACAGTTGGCACATCCACCTCCCCAAATTTTGAAAAGAAAAGGCCCACGTGGTCCTCGGAAATATATAGGGGTAAACCAAATAGGGTTAGTCTAGTTTTCTCGTCCCCATTTGCTCTGTTTGAAGCCTCAGTGACTTCGTTGTGAGGATACTTCCGGTTAAAGATTTTGCAGCATCTTCAGTTTGAAGTAAAATATTCACATTACGTTACTTCGCCGTGCCATCATTTTGGCCCCAATACTGAGGTTCTTCAGGGCCTCCGCCATGCTTTTCCTGTTGACGCTGATAAATTTACGAGATTTAACTTCCGTCGTTAACAGCGATATTGTGTTGGTGCTCAACGCTTCGAGAAGCGAAGGCACTGGAAACAATTCATTTCCGGACACAAATTTTTCAATTCATTCTTTTAGATCATTGTAATATATACTCTGGTCCTTCCTTGGGGTCTATTTCCTTCCCACGCCGATGGGCTTGCTGCAGTAGTTGTCAGTTCAAAAAGCTGGGACTACGCCATAATGCTGGCGTTCCCACGACACCGATCCCGAAAATAAATAAAAAAAAAACGGACGAGAATTCATGTACAGAAAGCAAAATAAATACACAAAAATACAACAATATTGACACAAAATAAATCGCAAATTCAACTGACATAGATACGTGACTGTTTGAATGAATTCCAGATAAGTGGAAGGATGTAAAAGACAAAGACAACTACTCCAGTATACAAGACCACCGGAAGTGAGAGTGTAATGGGAGGCGAGAGAGAATATATATATATATATATATATATATATATATATATATATAACTTACATTTCAATTGGGCTCAATCCTTTGGAGAGTGAATCAGTATCCCGATAGTCAGAATGGTATACTTAGAATTGTCCCACAGGACAATAGATTATTAGATTAAAGCGTTGATTTCTGAATTTGGCGAACTCAATTCCTTGACCAGGTAACGCAGACTTGGGATCAGTGGAAAAGGGGAGAGCCATAACCGAGTAATGCTAAATAAAGAACTAGACAAGATCCACCAAGAGGTCGACAGCGTAACGAGAACCATCTCGCCCTGTAGATTAATTAATAGATTGTTTGAAATCCATGGGGTTTATTGGGATCGACAAGCACCTGAGGATGGTTGGAGGACACAACGGTCGAAACCTTTCTGAAAATTACAAGATGAAGACAACAAACTGCACATAAATAATATAAAGAAAGTTAACTTCTCATTCCAAACATTCAAACAAAAATGTTCTATTTTATTATTGTTGTTGTTAATCGCCCAATACACGCATTGACTTGAGTGCCTCTTGGGACTTAAACTTAACTCAGAACTTAAATGAAAGTCGTACATAGTAAAGATGCTGGGAAAACGGTTGGTTCTCTGTACTGTTCCAGTAGTTAACTGATTAGTTTTGCTATCCTCAACCAGATCATATATGGACAGCTCCTGCCCATATAAGGTAGGAGTACTCTATTTTTTTTTACACTTTCCATTCTCAATAGAGTCCAAAATCGTTCCCCCTCCCTGTGGGTGACGAATTATTTTTCACCATGCAATCCGTTTCTGACGGAAAGAACGTCGCAAATCTCTCGCTATTCTATCGCAAATTCCATAGAAAGTGTTCAGATGAGCTACATTCCTTACTCCCAGCAGGTCTAACCTTCAAGGCTAAGGCTGGCTAGACCACGCCCATTGTAGCAAACCACCCACCTTCCCTTCGTATTCCATTGGGGAGATGTAAGTTCCACTCGAGTAGCTTCTTCCGACGAACCACTGTTTTATGGAAACGACACGCAACGAAATGTTTTATTAGTCACTACAATTTTAACGTGTTCATTGTCTCGAGCAAACCGTTATCTTCGCCAGATATCCCTATAAACCGTGTTTCTTACACTGTAAGCATCTACCTCAGGTGGCTCTTGAGCCTTGTACATGTTGACCAGCTTTTCAAAAAAATATCTATGTTAAGAATGAATCTTTTCTTTCCTCTCTCACATAAAAAATAAAGTATATTCTTATTTTGTATCATTATTATCATTATTATTATTATTATTATTATTATTATTATTATTATTATTATTATTTCCTTTGATTTTTGGTGTATACTAACTTTTTTCTGGGTCCCAATTAGAGACATAAGGTTAGAGATGGCATCATGACATTTTCCACAGAGCAGTTATATATATTCTACGTAGAAAAAGGTCATCGTAAGGTGTGCGCTGTACTTGTGAGTAAAATTTTTTTTGGTATTTCTTTAAGGTATGGGCCGCCAGGAATCCCTTCAATGAGTCTATTGGAATCTTTTCCAATCAATCCAAGGGCTCCAGTTAAAACTGGTATTGTTAATGTTTTCATGTGCCACATTTTTTAGATTTCGATTTCAAAGTCCTTGTATTTTGATAGTTTTTTAAAGATCTTCAACGATACATTGCAGTCTGCGGGGACTGCCATATTCATTAAGGAGGCACATTTTGTCTTTGCCGGCTGTAATTACGATGTCAGGGTGATTGTTCTGTCTGCCTGTATTGTGTAGTCCCATAAATTTTTTACAGGTCCTATCTCCGTAACCAGGCCTGGGTATTGATCATACGAATTTCTTGCAGTTTCCTATTCGTAAGTGTTGCAGATTTTCCTCTGCAATTGGCCCACTCTGCCGTGCTGTGTTTTATATCCATTAGGTACCATTACCGTGCCACCTAATACAAGATGGTCAATTATTTCTAAATATTTATCACAGAATCTGCATTTTGGACTAACACAATTTTTCAGTATGTGTGCTTGATGATTTCTACTTAGCAAGCATTGATCTTGAGCATTGATCTTCGATTTCAGCTTTTAACCCTGCACTACGTAGCCATTGATGGGTACGGGATTTGTCTACATCAACTTGTCTGGTACGGGCAGAGTATTGACCCTGAAGCTGTTTATCTTGCCATCATTTCTGTATCTGGTCGGTTGCATTTACCTCTGCTTTCTTTTTTTTAAGTATTTTACAGCTTCATTAGGTGTATTATGCTTTACTTGTATTTCTTCCCCCATTTGAAACTCTATTTTGAACTTGTTAGCTTTCTTTATTATTATTATTAATAGTATTAGTATTATTAGCTACTCATGAGTACGGAGTTTGTCTACATCAGCCTTATTATCATTATTATTATCATTATTATTATTATTATTATTATTATTATTATTATTAGCCACTGATGAGTACGTGGTTTTTCTACATCATCCTTATTATTATTATTATTAGTAGTAGTAGTAGTATTTTGTTCTTGTTAATCTCTTATTGTGCCTAAAAACATCCAGAGTAAAAAGGTATCTCCTATCCATCAGATATCTTTTACTACACAATATTGTTATAACAATTCTTTTATTTAATCATTTCACCACAGGTAAGGCAATAAAGCCACTATGACGCAAGGAGTTACTAAGACAATTTGAAAAAGAGAGAACAATAAAAGAAGAGAATTAAGAAGACAGAAGACAACAATTCAGATTGCATCTAACTTTGTGAAAATCAAAGTTGACTGGAAAGCAGGAAACACGAAGAGAGTTCCACAAGTGAGAAGTGCGAGGGAAGAAAATATTAGCATAGAAATTAGAGTTTCATCGAAATGTAAAATGATGAACCTTTGCCAACAATCCCGTCCGCTTAAATTGATAAAGTCTAAATGCCATAAAAAGAATTACCATGGAAATATTTATAGAAAAAAGTACAGAGAAACTATATAACGGCGGCAGGAGTTTGAATGAAACCGAGATAGCAGGTTAGGATCAATAACATTGCAGATTCTTTTAATTTTATCCAGAATTTCTAAATACACAGCAGAAAGATCCAAGCAGATGTGACATTAATATTTAATGCATAGACAAAAAGTAGACTTATAAACATATATCTATCTCTGTCAGTTCATTATCTATCTCGATCAGTTCATTATCTATCTATCTATCTATCTATCTATCTATATCTATATCTATATATATATATATATATATATATATATATATATATATATATATATAATTATCTGAATACGCTCAATGTTTATCTGTTTATCGGCGTATGCTTCATATTTATCAATTCTGTTTTAATTGCCGATTTCCACTCATTGTATGATCAAGTGTTTATCAATAGGCCATTTTTTTCATTATCGCTCTTTCTTTCATTAGTCTTCTCTCTTTTCTCCCTTTTTCCTTTCTTTCCTTTCTTTGTGTTTTGTTTATTTCCCTGTTTATTTTTCTTTCTCTTTACAATTAATTCCCATATAATTAAAGAGAAAAATCAAAGAAAGATAAATGAAATGAAGAAAAACCTTCATTTCATTTATCTTTCTTTGATTTTTCTCTTTAATTATACTGCTGTATATTTGCTGCTGGACTCAGATAAGGTGACGAGCCACTTCGATATAAAAATATATATAATTATCTTTATTGTTCGAGTTGCGCCAATTCGGTAGAGTGAGGGAGAATCACAGAGATTAGGATTGTGTACACAGGAATTGACGGAGACACTATCTTCGTTGAAACTCAAGCCAGCCTCTCTCTTAGGTCAAGAGTTGGACCGTTTTTATAACATTTGGACACTCACGCAGCTTCAGGTGTCTACGCCTTCTTCTTCTATGGAACTTCTTGTGGCCATGCCTCTTCCGGCCATGTGCACACGCAACTTGTGTGGCCACGCTTCTTCCGGCACGCATCCACACAAGCACGCATTTCCTTCTGCTCAGGACACCTTTGCGACCTGTTTATTTTAGCCATTTCCTGTTTATGCTATCATCCATTATGATTTTCGCTCACACTCTAAAGCAGCGCAAGTGAGGTTAAAGTTCTTCTTCCGATATTCAATACTATTTTTTTTTCATTTTCTTCTTGTCTTTCATTCATTTCTTCCTTCTTTTTTGAATCCATCGAATTTTTATGATTCTTAAATTTTTTTACTTCTCCACAATTCCACTTTTTGGAGTTTTCTTTATTTTTTTCTTTCTTTCTTTCTTTCTTTCTTTCTTTCTTAAGTCCCGAATTTTGTCTATTCTTAGACTTTCTTTTAATTTCTTTTCTCCATAATACCAAAATGTTATCTATTTTCAGACTCCTTCGTTCTTTTCTTTTTTCTTTCTTTCTTTCTTTCTTTCTTTCTTTCTTAAGTCCCGAATTTTGTCTATTCTTAGACTTTCTTTTAATTTCTTTCTCCATAATACCAAAATGTTATCTATTTTCAGACTCCTTCGTTCTTTCTTTCTTTCTTTCATTCATTCTTTCTTTCTTTCTTTCTTTCTTTCTTCCTCCCTTTCTTTCTTTCTTTCTTTCTTTTCTTTCTTTCTTTCTTTCATTCATTCTTTCTTTCTTTCTTTCTTTCTTTCTTCCTCCCTTTCTTTCTTTCTTTCTTTCTTTCTTTCTTTCTTTCTTTCTTAAGTATCATATTTTGTTCATTTTTACACTTTCTTTTTCTTATTTTCTTCACAATTTCAAAATGTTGACTATTTTTAGGCTCTTTCTTTTTTTTTTCTTTCTTTCTTCACAATTCCAAAATTTCTATGTTTAGGTTTTTCTTTCTTTCTTTCTTTCTTTCTTTCTTTCTTTCTTTTTTCACCATTCCAAAATATCTACTTTTAGGCTCTTTCTTTCTTTCTTTAGCTCCAAATTTCGTCTATTTTTACATTTTTTCTTTCTTTTTTTCTTAAGTTCCAAATTTTGTCTTTTTTTTCTTTCTTTCTTTCTTTCTTTCTTTCTTTCTTTCTTTCTTTCTTTCTTCACAATTCGAAAATGTTGTCAATATTTAGGCTCTTTCTTTCTTTTTTCTTTCTTTCTTTCTTCAAAATCCCAAAATGTCTACTTTTAGGCTCTTTCTTTATTTCTTTCTTAAGTCCCGAATTTTGTCTATTTTTTTTTTCTTTACAATTCCAAAATTTTGCCTATTTTCAGGCTTTCTTTTTGCTTTCTTTTCTTTTTTCTTTCTATATTTCTTTTTTCCACTAGAAAATTTTGTCTACTTTTAGGCTCTTTCTTTTTTTTATTTATTTTTACGATAAAGTTTTGTCTATTTTCAGGCTATTTCTTTCATTCTCCAATATTTTTTAGTCTAGTCTTTCTACCTCTTTTATTCTTCCATTGTTACTTTTTTTTCATTCTTTCAAAAATTATTTAATTTCTTCGCCCTTTTCAGATTTCTCCCCTCTCTTCGCACTTATTTTCAGATATTTTTCTTATTTCCGTTGACTTTTTCTTCCCGTTTTTGGCTTCGATTTGTTTCCTTCCTTCCTTCCTTCTTTCCTTCCTTCCTTCCTTCCTTCCTTCCTTCCTTATACTGGAGTTTTCGATTATGGAACAAAAAGCGAAGATGTGAGGATTGTGGCTCATCAAACCCGATTTGAGAAAAGACAGAATCGAATGTGAATATTAAATTGCGTTCGATACGAAGAAAAAAAATCATATAAAAATATTGACTTGTCAATCAACAGATTTAGCTTCCGACAACTCAGCAATTTTAACATTTTTTTTTGATTGAAAAGAAATGGGCGGCCAGGGAACGGCGAGAGAAATTATATATATATATATATATATATATATATATATATATATATATATATATATATATATATATATATATATAAGAAATCATTTCTCGATGTTTTTAAAAGTCAACTTGTACGTTATATTTTTTATTGTTTCAACTTTATTTTTTATCCTCACCCAACGTCGACGCGGCTGTTATCACCATCATCCTTTCAAGCAGTCTACCTCTCCTACCTTCCACGCCCACCTCTTCGCTTCTTCCGCTTTCTTTACTCTTCTTCCTTGACGCCACCACCACCACCACCATCATCATCATCATCATTACCATCATCACCATGATCATCATCAGCAGCAGCAAGATCAGACTTCATTGACGTTAATAGTATACTTTTCTTAGGATACATAGGCATTACAAACTTTAATGTTTCCCTTAGCATCCATGTTTTCATTATGGTCGAAAAAAAGAAACAAAAAAAAAAACATTGTATTTATTTTTATATAACACAAGTCTTATTTTACAAGTAAACATTTTCTTTCATTCTTTTTTTTTTTTATCATTTCACCCTAAGCAAGGTGGGGATGCTACTAATACGTAGTGGGTTACAGAGAGTGAAAGTGAAAGAAAAGACTTGGTATAGAGGGGACCGAAGAAAGAAAAAAAATGTCAACGGGTTTCAAGAAGACAGAAGATGTCGATTGACGTTGAATTTAAATTTTTGAAGATTGTAGTTTTCAGGGAAGCGAGAAATCGGAAGGGCGTTTCACTGGTGGGAAGTGCGAGAAAAGAAACTGTTGGAGTATTTAGCTAGTTCAACAGCAAACCGGTGGGACCTAGATGCCAATCTATAGATCGCATGTATTCGGGGCACCACGAAAAAAGCTCAGCAGAGTAGTTGACATGAAAATATCTGTAGAAAAGATAGAGGGAAGCCACGGCACGTCGGTGAGAATATGTCTGAAGTCGAGATGCCAAGTCAAGATCGAATATATTACAGATCCTTCTTTGGGTTTTGTCAAGAATGGCGAGATGAACAGCAGAAGTATTCAATGCACGGTCGAATGGTAGATTTATAAATGTGTAAGAGGAACTCTTACAAGAAAAATCTTCTGGCATAAAACAGTAACCCAACCTTACTCAAAGTAGGTACGGCGATTGATTCCATATAATCACACCACTTGTTGAGAGCACAAATAAATTAGCATGGTCTGCATGTCAAAAAAGGCTAAAATTAATGGAATACTTATTAATAAAAGTAAAAAAAAACACTCATTATTATCAACTATGAACATTGTAACAATATCTTGACCGTGTTTTGAAATTGAAACATTATATAAATACATACATACAACAATCTCCATCTATATATCTGAGATGAGGTATTATGCACACAATTTACATTATTCGGACTATTGTCCCCATCTTTGTCGCCATGTTTATTACAACGATTCGGCCCTTCAGTATCTGTCTATATTTCTGAGACATGTACACGATTTACATTATTCGGACTATTGTCCTCATCTTTGTCGCCATATTTATTACAACGTTTCGGCCCTTCACTATCTGTCTATATTTCTGAGATTAGGTATTCTGTACACTGTTTATATTATTCGGACTATTGTCCTCATCTTTTCGCCATATTTATTACAGCGTTTCGGTTTTTCAGTATCTGTCTATATTTCTGATATGAGTTATTATGTACACTATTTACATTATTCGGACTATTGTCCTCATCATTGTCGCCATATTTATTACAACGTTTCGCCCTTTCAGTATCTGTCTATATTTCTGAGATGATGTATTATGTACACTATTTACATTATTCGGACTATTGTCGTCATCTTTGTCGCCATATTTATTACAACGTTTCAGCCTTTCTGTATTTATCTATATTTCTGAGATGGGGTATTGTGTACACTATTTACATTGCTCGTGGCTATCTTCCTCATTATTGTTGCCATATTTATCACAAGGTCTCGGCCGTTGAACGCCCCGCCCTTCTTCAGGTGGTTGGAATGTCGAACTGAACCCTTTATTTCGCTCACTGGGGTAGACTGTTCTAGTTCCACGTGCCATGTCTAATGGATGCTATCAGTTATCTCCTGTTAATTCTCCTCTCCAACTTAACCAGCGCCTTAACCAGGTATTGAACTCACACTGTGTCCTCAAGGCACATATAAAGGCGTTAGTTAGATCCAGTGACGGGACCCAAGGAGTGTTCACTGTTTACAAACCCACTCTTCCTCCCCGAAATATATATATATATATATATATATATATATATATATATATATATATATATATATATATATATATATATATATATATATATTGTTCCAATAACTTGGACCGATTTTAAATGTGAATTAAGTTTAAGGGTCTACTGATATTTTTCTTTATTTTTCAGGTTTAACAACTTAAGTATTTGGTAATTTCAACCATGGAAAGATTAATAATCAAACAGCATGTTAAAGTTATCGAAGCCTATTACGAAAATGGACGTGCAAACAGAAATGCATTTCGGTCACTTTGCAATTTTTTTGGTCAACATAATCGACCAACTAAGAATGCAATTGGAAACGAGGTAATGTTGTTGTGGAGAGGTTCAATTCCTACGCGCGATGACGAATCTCTGGATTTTCGGCTATATTTTTCGAATCTCTGGATTTCGGGCAACATATTTGGAATGTCTGGAATGTGGGGTCACATTCTCGTACACTGCAGCAATGTTTTCAACTGAACGGCGAGCAGGCAATGGTGTTTTCACATCTGCTACCGACTCAGTTTGTTTGAATTTATGAACAATTTTTCCAATTGCACGCTTGAAACTTTAACGCGTTATTTGATTGTTAATCGTTCCATTCTGAAGATGACTCTTGTGAGCCGAAAAGTTTAGAACTCTTCAACCCTCTTCCTCTCTCTCTCTATATATATATGTCTAAATGCGCGCACACACACATATACATACACACTCACATATATATCTATATATATATCTATATATATATATATATATATATATATATATATATATATATATATATATTCAGGCCGGTAAATGTTGTTTAATACTGTTTATTATAAACAGAGCATTTACTTAAATATTTGTGTCTATAAAAAGAATGTATAAACATAAAAATGTCTTAAAATAATTGTCAGACTTTCATAATGTGTTACGTCATTTGTTGACATTTGGATGCGTATGAATGTACGTGAGAGATTCATAGAAGATTGAAGTTTAAATACAGTAATTTCGACCTTGCTAACCGAACTGTCCTCTGTAGCCAAATCGATTAAGGCACGTCAAGCTAAATGACGGTTCCGTATTGGATACAGGTTCGAATCCTGTCGGAGGACGTATGCTTTTTTGAGCAAATTTCTCAGACATTCAGGCCGGTAAATGTGGTTTAATACTGCTTATTATAAACAGAGCATTTACTTAAATATTTGTATCTATAAAAAGAAAGTATAAACATAAAAATGTCTTAATATATATATGTGTGTGTGTGTGTGTGTGTGTGTATATATATATATATAATATTTTAAATATATATATATTTTTAATATTTATATATTTTTAATATTTTTAACTGTCAAACAGACCAGGGGAATTCAGAGCAGCATAGATCCATCCAGCTCTTATCTGAAATAACAACTTAAAAGACACTGATTGACCAATACAAGGAATGTTAAAAGATTCATGTTAAAAAGATAAAAAAATTTTAAAAAAACAAATGAAAATTACAGACAAAAGTTCATTTTCTCCATCAAGACATTCATTTCTGTAGTTTACTGCTACCAGTAAGCAGAAATATTTATTCTCCTGATGATGGCCATTTTGGGCGAAACTAATCGAGGAATCTAAATGAAATAATAATAATAAAAACGGAAGAATATTAATCTACAACCCAGTGTGTCATAAGATTTTAATTTTTTTGATATTTTTTATTGTTCAATATATATATATATATATATATATATATATATATATATATATATATATATATATTGTTAAATATAACAGACAATAAATGTCTATTATTTTTTATCATAAGCCATTCTAAAGTTCGTATGTTTGATTCAATTTTGGGTGTAAATAAAGACAAAAATTGTCGAATATTTGGATATTTTATTATTAAGTTGGTCCTTGAGTTAAAGATCAATTGTAGATCAAATAATCGGAATCCAACAGGATTATGAAATAAAGAAAAATTGGAAACATATGTCGATCTAACATATTTCACTTTTATTGAATCTTCGTGAAAGATTAAGAGAAAACAGACAGAAAGAATGAAACCCTGGTCTCTTCAATTTTGTTTGGGTCAGTTCTCATTGGTCAGTCATATGTCACGTGCATTAAAACTGTAATTCTATATTTATGTAAGTTTGTGAAGATTCTTTTGTATTTAAGCGGACATCGGATGGTAACGTTTATTCGTAATTGTGTATGTGTGTCTGTCTAGTGGGAGTTCTAAAGTCTAATGCATCGCCCAAAATGTACTCGCTCTTTAAATGACAATAAATCATCCTTGCAAATTTGCCCTGCAACAAATGGGCCTTTCAAATTTGACTTGCAAACAAAGTTAATGTTTAAAATTAAGTACTGCAATTTATTGACTAACGACGAAGATTAACGGTTTCAATTAGACATTAAACGAAATTAAATACATAGCTCTGAATAAATAAAAACAAATTAAGAAGTTATAAGCAATGAAAAGGTGAATATACATTTTTTGGCACGCTCTGTATATATATATATATATATATGTATATATATATATATATATATATATATATATATATATATATATATATATATATAGAGGTAACTATACTCGTTTCGAAAAACCCTCGAATTTTTTGATTTGCCATTAATCAAATCAATCTCGAGGAAAAAAAAGGTTTTAAAAAAAGAAAGAGCTAGAAACATAAAAGTCTGTCGAAAAAAATCGCCCGATACAGGTTTGAAACCCAACGAAAAAAAACCCGACACGAGTAAACAACTAGCTAACAAAAGAGCTCAATACAACCGTAGAGTAAACCTAATCAAACCTAGTGAGCCAGACAAACCTACCCAGGTTTCACCCTAAGCGGATCGTCAGGGGAAAGGTGGCTCTGACGATCCGCTTAGGTGAGACCTGTAGGTTCGTCTGGCTCACTAGGTTTATATATATATATATATATATATATATATATATATATATATATATATATATATATATATAAAAAAAGAAGAGAGATACTGCAAACGCTTTTGGTTGTAATGTGGATTTTTTTTTTAAATATTATGCTTTATTTTCCATAATTTTACTACACATGTTTCTGGTCTCGCGACTGTCATCAGATAAAGGCTGAAGATTTCCACGTATTATTAAAAATAATTAATTTTTTTCTCCTTAATGTTTTTCAATATTAAATATTCTCGATATGAGACATTCTCTGTTTTTGTGTTAGTAATCCGAATGTCTTTCTTGAACCGGCAGTGAAGAGTTCTGCGCGAAGGGTCATAAAACAATTAAGATTGGTCCGAGAGAAATGATGAATTACTTATCGGTATCTTATCTTTTAATGACCCCTGTGTGTTCTTAGATCTATTTCCATTTTCGTGTGTTTCTGTCAGCATGCGTGTATATATGTGTATATTCCCTCTCCATACATACACAGTGTCTCACTACAAGGAATTAGTAAACACATTTGTACACATACACACATACCCACACACCGTCCCACTACAAGGAATCAGTACATGCACACACACACATACATACACATATTTCCCAAGTTACATGGGACCAGTATACACATACACACACACACACATATATACGTACATACATACACACGTAATTCCTAAGTTGTGTGGGGTTTGTTTGCGTGCCCGTTAATAATTCCTTGCTTTTTGTCAGCATGTGTGTATATATACATTTTCGTGCTCTATAGACACACGCATGTGAGCATGCGTGCATGTATGTGAGTGATTTGATCACTGTATTTGGTCACCTTGTGTGCAGGTTGTGTGCTTTTGCGTGTAGCGTTATGATCTATTTAGTTCTGGTTTAAATTTGTTTATGAAGTTTTTTTCTTGTATTTGTAGGTAAGAATAATCGTCTGTTTGATATATTGGCATGATATTAAATATTTCTATCTATAAAAAGAATGTATAAACATAAAATTTCTTAAAATACACACACACACACAAATATATATATATATATATATATATATATATATATATATATATATATATATATATATATATATATATATCAAAGTATAAAATTGGGACATACCGAATGAATTCCAATAACCAACAATTACTATTCTTAAAAGAGTGCTCAATACAAAATAGAGCAGATATAATTATTTTTTTATAAAAAAAGATTTATAACATAAATATAAAATCACTACAAAAATAGCCATTTTGTTTCGACACCGAGGGTGGTTGAAACAAAATCAAGTAAGAAACCTTTGATTTTGTGTTGAAACAAAATGGCTATTTTTTAGTGATTTTATAATATATTTATGTCATAATTTTTTTTTTATAAAAATTATATATATATGTGTGTATGTGTGTGTATGTATATATATATATATATATATATATATATATATATATATATATATATCAGGTCCAGGTTGAATCCATTACATTCACTTACGTGCTAATACCTTGGGAAAGGTGTGAATCCTCTTCTTCTCCCTCCAGCTATGGGTAAAATAGCAGGATAGACTGGGTTCTATAGCCTTGGATAGCAACTGGTCTAGGAGAAGGACAACTCTGAATTAAAGACCTGAGGGGGGGTTGTTTGGGGACCTTTTGTCACGTAGTGCACCAGGTTTCTGTATTCGGCCCTTCAGAAAGAGTGGATGGTCCTGCACGAAACCTTCACCACTTTAATCAAATCTCATGTGCCGGTGTCGGGCTGTCGGTTTCCTGAAACTGATCTGTTGACCTCATCCGTCGAACCCGACAGGAGAATCGATATATATATATATATATATATATATATATATATATATATATATATATATATATATATATATATATATATATATATATATATTTATATTTTATTTTATATATTTTTAATATTTATATATGTTTGATTCAAGAGAGATACCGCAAACGTTTTCAACCTGGTTACATTTGAAAATGTGTTGCGATACAAAAACTTTTCTGTTTGGTAATTTGATGTTGCTTTTGTGCAGGGAAACTCTATGTGTGTGTGTGTGTGTGTGTGTGTGTGTGTGTGGCGTGCTATTTCTGTCTGTGATCTCTCTCTGTATATTAAGAGAGAGACTGCGTGAATGGTATCGCTACATAAGGGAAGGGAAATGGAGCTATAGAATGATGACAATTGAACGTTTTACACATATACTGCTGTATATTGACAGAATTTAGAGAAGTCGGATTGAGAGATATACAACTCTCTTTTGAGATAGAAGACACTGAGTAATTTATCATTAATAAATTTCTGAATGTTTTTGAGATTTCTAAAATGCTGTGTGTGTGACTTTGTATCTACGTTATCTAATTAGCTAGCTCATACTATTTCTATATATGTATGTCTATATGTATGTATCTATTTCAGATTATTCGTATGTATATATCTATCACAGATTATGCGTATATATGTATCTATTTTTATATATGTATGTATCTATTTCAGATTATTCGTATGTATATATCTATCACAGATTATGCGTATATATGTATCTATTTGTATATATGTATGTCTATATGTATGTATCTATTTCAGACTATTCGTATGTATATATCTAACACAGATTATGCGTATATATGTATGTCTATATGGATGTATCTATTTCAAAATATTCGTATGTATATATCTATCACAGATTATGCGTATATATGTATCTATCTCAGACTATTCGTACGTATGTATGTATGTATGCATGTTGCTATCTATCTCAGACTATTCGCATATATGTATGTACCTATCTATCAGTCTATCTAACACTATTCGTATGCATATATCTAAGACTATTCTTATGGATATATGTAAGACTATTCGTATGTATATATCTATTCATGTGTATGTATATATCTCAGACTATTAGTACCTATCTGTCTCACACTATTCGTACGCATGTATGTATGTATGTATGTATCTATCTATTTCAGACTATTCGTAAATAAGCAGCTAGCTATCTATCAGTCTATCTTAGACTATTCGTATCTTTCTTTCTTTCTATATATCTATCTATCTATCTTAGCCTCTTCATTATTTATCTATCTATCTCAGCCTCTTCATTATCTATCTATCTATCTATCTATCTATCTCAAATGAGTGTCGCCCACGTATCAACTTCGAGCATTTAGTTTATCAATTCTTTTACAAACCGAAAAAAAACTGCTTAAAATAAATGCAATATGTAATCATATATTTATTGCTAAAAAAGGAAAAAAAAAACTAAAAAAAACACTACAACCATCAAATATGTGTAGATACAAGACTGTTGTTCCTAGACTTGTTTCGGACTAATGTTAATTAAGCCAACAGCAGAATAATAATAATAATAATAATAATAATAATAATAATAATAATAATAATAATAATAATAATAATAATAAATTAGAGAGTAAACACTGTGCGATTTTCTTTTCTCATGTTTATTTTCTTATATAATACAAGTATTTTTATAAAAAAAAAAGAAAGTATGGCACAAAAATAGCAGCAGAGGGAAAAATGAAGCTTTTGACAGATTAAATTTGTTGAACGTTTTTAAATTCCGTTCGATAACTTATCGGCTTTGTCACAATTACTTAAGTTGTGTCTTTGCATGAAAACTTAATAGTAACAATACATAACTGTCGTCCATTTTTTTTTTTTTTTTTGCCTCTTCTTTTCGTTCTCAACTGCAGGAGAGTTCCTGTATTTTTTTTTTTTTAAACCACTTCTAGTTATCGTCTTCTTTTATTTTTCGTTTTAGGTAAATGCAGACCAAAGCGTTTCTTTTTTTTAAGTCTCTCCATTTTTCTTTTCATCTGCGTCTTTCGTTATTCTTTTGTTTCTGTTTTCCTACTGACGCTAAAAGATTGACGCAATGTATTCCTTTTCTCAAGCAAAAATAATAAAAAAAAAAGAATTATCGCAGATGAGAATAGAACCACTGGTTTATGTATTTTCTATTTTGAAATAAATATATAAAAGCACACGTGCGCAGTTATGTACGGTTTATAAATAATTTTCATTCTTTTTTGACGTTGTTTGCGACTAAAAGGGAAGGATAAAATGCGTTTAAAAATGTTATATATTGGAGTCTTTGACGACAGTGTGCTGTCTCTATTCCATACACGGGTTATTCAACACACGTTGGAATTCATCAAAATACAATAATGAAAGGCTATATAAATTAACTCTAAATACAATATAAATTATTATTATTATTATTATTATTAATAATAATAATAATAATAATAAAATATACCATGATACAACTACTGCAGGGACAATGACCCCCCCAAAAAAAAATCAAACGCAATGTACCAAACGCAAAAACAATGGTAAGATATGCTTCTTCATGGTCAATACTCAGCCCATACCAAACAATCCGATGTAGACAAACCCCGCACCCATCAGTGGTTACGTAACGTAGGGTTTAAAACTGAAACCTAAGGTTTTATTCTTGCTGCACAGGAGCAATGCTTGCTAATTAGACATTGTCAAGCTCACATACTGAAAAATTTGTGTTAGCTCAAAATGAAGATTCTGTGATAAATATCCCGAATCAATTGACCATCTTGTATCAGACTTTATGATAGACTGGGTCAATATATGTACCGGAAAATATGCAATTTTTATCGGTAGGAATCTGCAAGGAACTGGTATGAACATCACTCAGACCCGATAACAGAGATAGGACCTGTAACCAATTTATGAGATTTTACAAAACACACAAAGCAATCAAATCCCCTAGCTTAAAGAAATACAAACAAGTACAGTTCACATATTATGAAGACCTTTATCTATGTAAAATGTGTGTTATTTTATTTTTTACAAAAATGATCAGTGGAAAATGTCATGCAGCCATTTCTCACCTTAGGTCACTGATTGGGACCCGGAAGGAAATGCGCATTTAATCAAAGGAAATAATAATAATAATAATGAGTACCTAGGAATTATCGAAGGAATAGTATACAGCACACACAAATGAAGGAGAAGTTAAGAAAGGAGACTAACAAGCGTGTGCGTCTGGTATTGAATACCGAGCTGAATTCAAAAACAGAATATCAGCCATAAACAACTTGGCCCTTTATAAAAAATATAGTTTCAATATCCTTAGCTGGACCATATCTGATATTAAGCGAATGCAATCCAAACGAGAAAGCTTCTCACTTGTTACCGCATGTATCATCCCAAAGCTGATGTTGATCGTCTGTATGTGCCCAGATCCGAAGGGGAAAGAGGATTACTTCAACTAGAACTGTCTTACAACTTTAAAGATACCTGGAAACTACAGCAGACTGGACGATGATATGTGTTAAAAAGATGAAAGTAGTAAACGTCATTATTCCGTGATAGAAATAGGAAGCCAACAAGTTCAAAATGGAGTTTCAAATGGCTGAAGAAAGCCAAAGCAAATGTAACTGACCAGATACAGAAACAATGACAAGATAAACCGCTTTATGGCCAATAGTCTGCTCGTACTAAAAAATCTGATGTCGTACCCATCAGTGGCTACAGTGCAGGGTTAAAAAAATGAAACCAATTTTTTATCCTTTTGCATGTTAACAAGAACTTATCAAGCACAAATACTAAAAAATTGTGTTTGCCTAAAATGCAGATTTTGTGATAAATATTCAGAAACAACTGATCATCTTGTATCAGGTTGCATGGTATTGGCACCCACTGAATATAAAACACGGCATGACAGAGTGGACAATTATGTACACTGGAAAATCTGCAACTTTTACGGAAAGGAAACTGAAAGAAATTTGTATGAACACCACCCAGACCCGGTGACGGAGATAGGACCTGTAACAATTTTATGGGACTTTACAATACACACGGACAGAACAATCAAAGCTAATCGCCCTGACATCGTGATTAGAGACCGCAAACAAAAAGAAATGGCCTCCTTATTGATTTGACAATCCCTGCAATGTATCCTTGAAGATCTTCAAATAGCTATCAAACTACAAGGATCTTGAAATCGAAATCTCAACAATGAAGCACATGAGAACATCAACAATCCCTTTTGTAGCTGGAGCCCTCGGATTGATCAGAAAAGATTCCAATAGACTAACTGAAGGGATTCCTGGCAGCACATGCCTTAAAGAAATAAAAAAAAATCTCACGATTACACCCAACACCTTACGAATTGTTTTATCTATGTAACATATGTGTGTTTTTTGTTATTGTTGTTGGGAGCGGTTAGTTGCTCAGTGAAAAATATCATGATGCCATTTCTGACCTTAGGTCTCTGGGCAGAATCTGAAAAGAAATGAATACACACTCTAATAAAAGGAAATAATAATAATAATAATAATAATAATAATAATAATAATAATAAGAAAGAAGAAGAAGAAGAAACAAACTTGATTACAGACATAAGACCTGAAACAATTTTATGGGATTTTAAAATGCATAGATAGAACACTCAGAGTTAATCGCCCAGACATTGATCAAAGGCCAAAAAACAGAATGTTATTTTTTGTTGATAAGGCAGTTCCGGCATACAGTAAAGTATCTTTAAACATCTTTTTTAAAAAATACAAGGATCTTGAAGGGAAAATCTAAAATAAATGTGGCACATGAAGACATCACTAATTCCAGTTGTGGTTGGAGCCCTGGGTTTGATTAGAAAATGAAAAACAGACCCATTAAAGGGATCGCTGGCAGCCCATGCCTCAAAGAAGTATAAAAATATTGTTCTCATTACAGCCAACACATTACGAAGGCTTTATCAATGTAAAATGTGTTTACTTTTTTTTTTTAAAATGTGAAAATGTTATGATTCCATTTCGCACCCCTTGTCTCTGGGAAGAGAAAGGAAATTAGTATACATCAATCAAAGGAAATAATAATAATAATAATAATAATAATAATAATAATAATAATAATAATAACGTAGACAAAACCCTTATCCATCAGTGGCTAATGTAGTGCAGGGTTGAAAGTGAAACTGAAGGTTTTATCCTTGCTACACAGGACCAATGCTTGATAACAGAATTATCAAGACATATACTAAAATATCGTGTCAGCCCAAAATGCAAATTCTGTGATAAATATCCAGAAACGATTGATCATCTTTATCAGGTTGCACGATATTGGCACCCACTGAATATAAAACCTGGCATGACAGAGTGTTCAATATCTGCACTGGAAAATCTGCAACTTCTACGGGAAGGAAACTGAAAGAGAATTTATATTTACACCAATGACCCGATTACGGAGATAGGACCTGTTATAATTCTATGGGATTTCACAATACACACTGACAGAAAAATCAAACCCAACCGCCCAGACATTGTTATTAAACCACAAACAAAAACGGTGCCTCCTAATTGATATGGCAGTCCCTGCTGACTGCAATGTATCTTTGAAGATATTCAAAAAGCTGTCAAAATACAAGTACCTTGAAAATAGAAATCTCGAAAATGTGGCAGGAGGAACATCAACAATCCCTGTTGTAGTTGGAGCCCTAGGACTGGTTGGAAAAGATTGAAGTAGACTAACTGAAGGGATTCCTGGCAGCACATGCCTTCAAAAATAAAAAATCTCACGATTACACCCAACACCTTACGAATTGTTTTATCTATGTAACATATGTGTGTTTTTGTTTTGTTGTTGGGAGCCTTAGTTGCTGGAAAAATATCATGATGCCATTTCTGACCTTTTAGGTCTCTGGGCAGAATCCGAAAAGAAATGAATACACACGAAATAAAAGGAAATAATAATAATAATAATAATAATAATAATAAGAATCAGAAGAAGAAGAAGAAGAAGAAACAAACTTGATTACAGACATAAGACCTGAAACAATTTTATGGGATTTTAAAATGCATAGATAGAACACTCAGAGTTAATCGCTACAACATTGATCAAAGGCCACAAAACAGAATGTTATTTTTTGTTGATAAGGCAGTTCCGGCATACAGGAAAGTATCTTTAAACATCTTTTTAAAAAAATACAAGGATCTTGAAGGAAAATTATTAAATGTGGCACATGAAGACATCACTAATTCCAGTTGTGGTTGGAGCCCTGGGTTTGATTAGAAAATGAAAAACAGACCCATTAAAGGGATCGCTGGCAGCCCATGCCTCAAAGAAGTATAAAAAATATTGTTCTCACAGGTACAGCCAACACATTACGAAG